AAATAAAAGAGTTCAAAAATTGTGTGACAACCCATGATTCTCTAACTTCTTTGCTTTACAAGATGTATTTGATGCACAATTTGAAGCAAGGGCTGATCTAGGGTTTTCTCGAGGGGGCGGGGGGTTTCAAAAGACTTTCGAAAATGTTGTCGACCTTTTTTGAAGTCGACCAAATTGATTTTCTGAGCTCTCCTAATCCGCCCCACCCCCTAGATCCAAACCTGATTTGAAGCACAAAGCATAAAGCAATAATGCAAATTTGCATAAAGCAAAAATTTGACAATATTCAAGCTGAAAACTTGCGATACAACACAAACAAAAAAAACAAGGTAGCAAAAATGAAAAATGTTGATAAAAAACGTCTACTTGAAGCAAATTCAGAACCACTTTTTGCTTAATTTAATGCCATATCAGAGCGTTGGCTGATCTCCGCTTGTTGAAGAAGATTGAGTGAGATAAAGGTTTAAGAATTTTTGTTAAAAATTGAAATCCACGTCAAAGATCTTCGTCCCGTTAAATTGGATATCCATAAAAATCTTTATCCAGTAGAGCTAGATTTCCTTACTTCAACAGGAAATCCAGTTAAATTGAGATGTTGAGCACGTGAGCTTTGGGTATAGTTAATATTGAAAACGGCTCTTAAAAACTGACATACTTGCTTCTCATGGGAAATGTAGCAAGATCGATCTGCTCTAGAGTTTCCTTCCCATCGATCATGGTGTAAGGAACAGCATGTTGATTTAGTCAGCGTTGTAGTCTTGACTTTCAACTTTGTTAAGTGGGCAGGATATGTCCAGTGCTTATGGCGTACCCAAACATAGGGACAGTTGCCGTAAACATTTCTCAAGTCAAGGCGAGCGAACTAAACGACACGACTAATTGCGCCCAATTTCTCCTTATTTCAACACAACTTATAGCAAAGGGTTTTAGTGTTGTGTTTTGAGAGTTGTTTTAGTTTATGACACAGCCGAAGGTGAATAAATCGGTCCAATTACTCGCAGTTCTCAGACGCATTTTACTTTTCAATAATGTTACTTTTTCACAGAACAGATCTTGTTGAAAATTCAACAAGAGGCGCCTAGACCAATTTAAATCAAATATTCGCATAAGTCCAGCCAGTTATATATATCACAAACATGAAAACCTAATAAAAAACAAATTTTCAAGGAGCACAGAGAAAGTGCCATTCATTAACTGGCAATGGATGCCATATTTAAGCAACAGGGAAACACAACGAAATAAAAAATTAAATACCTTTACGAGCTATTATGGAAAAAAAATTGCGTCATTCTCAATTCTCAATTTTCATGTTGTGTCACAGAAAAAAATTAACGAAACGATATCAAAAAATGCGAATCTGTCAGTTCATTTTCAGAATTCCACTGCAAGCATTAAATGTGTCTCGCTCAGACTGAGGCTGAAGAATAAGTTTAAAATTTCCAATTTGGCAGAAATCCGATTAAGAATTTCAGACCGCTTTTGTTAGCGTATCTGCGGACATTCAAATGAAACTAAAGGCTAATCGGGCCCTCAATGCGCTTGGGGAAAATTAAGAAGATTAGTGCTTTTATTGGAAAAACAAAATTCCGTCCAAATGCTGTCCATTACAACCATTAATGAATAAACTAAGAGCCTGTTATCAAAAAAGAAAACTTGAATTAACCAACCGTTCGGGGCATGATATCGATTCACGCTCCTAAACTCCCCTGCTATCTTCGATGGTGATATGATAACATTGAACCAGGCCTTGCAGCATATGTTTGAGCAATTAGCGATATTTCTTTGGTAGAATAGCCGTCGGTTACAATCCTAACTCAATTAAAAACCGGTTTCTTTAATCAGCTACAGCAAAAACATCACTCATGCCTGTAGCTAAAAACATCAACACCACGGAAAATGAGCCGGGAAAAAATCAGACAAGTGTCGGGTTAATTAGTAGTAGTTGATTGATAATTTTTCCCGGCTAAATTGAGCAAAACAAACAAATTCGAAAATAATCAGAAAAAAAACCTCAGGACAAGTGATCAGGACAAACTTTAATTCTGGCGAACGCGTAGAGAAAATTATTATAATAACTTCATTTTCAAGCCAAAACATGACCATACATTCTATTAAATTGTACGTTTACAATTTAGTTCGGCTTGGGAGAACACCAAAAAGGCATCATCATGAGCAAAATCTATTCGTCTACTTTTTTAAACTAAGATCATATAGACTAAAGGTCCGCAAAATTTCTTCAAATATCAAAAAAACTGAAAAGAAAAAAATCTGTTTTTTGGTGTTGTCTAACAATCAAAATTAGATGACCAAAAAAGTACTATAACGATGGGATGGAAATTTACCATAACATACTTAAAAACTGTTCGGTATCACACATGTAGATGTCTCTTATTTTATGAAAACACGAGTCCAAATTTGGAATACTTCAACTCCCAACATGGCTAAATCAAAGAGAAAAACAAAGACTAGTTTTCAAATCCAATTTATATTTATTTAACGCTTAAAAACATCCAAGATTAAACATTTCAAAGATTTGAACAAAAATTTTTAATGAACCAACGCAAAGAGTACATGTATAAAATTCCATTCACAAGAAGAAGAAGAAGAAGAAAAAGAAGGAAATCAGGAAGGAATTATTATGCAGTCTTCAAGCCAAAATTACCAGGCTGGAAAAGAAAACAAACAAACATGGAGAGGTCAAAAACACTACAAAATTAGTCACTTCAAAAGTAAGACGCACCAACTCAAGTAACTGAACTTTATAAGCGTTATAGTTATAGAGGAACACACATATTCAAGTAAGTGAACTATATAAGGGCTCTTGTAAAAGAGAATTACTTCAAATTGGGTGAACAAAAGTCGTGATTATCAGCTAAGTATCCTGCCGTAGGATATCGACTTAAAATGATTTTCTCGTTGTTCAAAAACAGGCTCTTTGAATCACGTTGTCATTTGTTACAGTAGAAAGCAAAATATGTTCAACAACGTATCTTCTAACCCCACCGGAATACAAAAACACAAATCCGAAATACACAAATCGCATTGAATGAACCTTACTTAGATAAATTTGGACAATCTACAACCCAAAAAAGTAGATAGCAAAAACCTGGACACGACACCATTTCCTGAAGCCGAATTATCTTAACCAAAATTTCGCTGCGATCATTTCACGAAGCGGGAACGAACAATGGCGTAGCTTGAGTTTTTCCTCTCGGTTTTGACTACTAGAAAGAAAACTAGTGGTCGGTCGAGCGTGATTGTTTAAAAATCAAAAACGGTCTCCGTTTTGAGCAAAACTAGCCTAATTTTTTCGTTTTTCAGACTAAATGACATGGTATTTAGGACTTACACGATGAGAGACTGGACTCGCGTTTGAATTATTCTTTTATGATTTTCTTTAAGACTCATTTATGAATTAATTCCTCTTATTTGGTTGATTTAACGTAATTAAAAAACACCCCGTATAAAACAAGACTGCTCGTATCAGGGCAAAGCCCCACCATTCCTACTGCACTTTAAGTTGTCTAGGATAGCTTCTAGTAAATGAAATATTGACAAACTATGATTTTAAGGCTGATAAAATCAAATTTTAAGTCTTAAATTTGAGTCGTCAGTTGAACAAATAAAACCAATTAACTTGCCTCAATTCAATTTGGAACGATGATTTTGTAGCGTGGGATAATCCGCCAGGCGTTAATAATACGCATTTTAACTTTCAGCGTCAATGTATAAAACGAGCAGTTGGGCTGGACTCGTGGCAGCTTAATATACTGGTGTTCAGACTCGGCGGGGCCCACGAAGATATTAAGATCGATCCCCCGAGATACAAATTCTTTTGAAAAATGATCCCAGTAAAAACGAACCCGACCATATATATTTTTCACTTTCATCGACATTCGGAACAACAGAAACTTCAGCGGAAAAATAAAACACTTTTAAAAAGGAATTTTTCCAAATTTTTTCCTTAACATCTGTTTTTTTAACTTTACGGTAAAAATTGTGGCTGAACGTTAAACATTCTAAGCTACTTGCACAGCAACAGTCTCTTCTTGCCTATAATTTGAATTACGACTAGCTGGGTTTCAATTTGATACCTCAATTTGATACCAGGAGACTCCACGAAAGCGCAAGACAGGAACACTAACACAACTCAAAACAATTTAATTTTTTTTTCCAATTATTTTAAGCAGGTGAAGAGAACTGAAATTATTCAGACCAGCTTCTCATGACCCTTTTTTTATTTAAAAAAATATTTGAAATCCGATTCACGACTGCAAAAGTGTAAATATGATGTCCGATTCGAGGGCAAACACCTTCGTTTGAATTTTTATGAAAGCTGAAATTAAAATTCGCAAGAACAATTAGGAATAATAGGCCACCAGCTTGGTATCCTAAGAGGCTAATAGGGCATCAGTTACACCTGTACAAAGGGTGATTACTTTTAGTGCAGTCGTAACCTTTCTAGTAGGATTAAACGTAGAGTTGGGCTCTCTACTCCCCCCCCCCCCCCACCCGCACAAGTTCGGGATTTCTGCTTTATTTTTGGAACTCTTCGATGTGATGGATTCACTTATGGGAAGCTCAGAGCCCAACTAGGCGTTGAAAACGCTGGAAAACTGGCATTTCGCCTCAAGAAACTTCTTCTTAAGGTGTTGAGTTATTTAACAATTTAACATAAATAACATGTTTTTTTTTCAATAGCTAACTGTTAGTTTGATATTTTCGATAATAACACAATTTGCCAACCCTGATCCGAACCTTTTTAGTAGAACTAAACAAAATCTGCTCGTTCTCTTGTGGGCGAAGAAAATATATTACTCAAAAATTACCAAAAACGCAGAAAAAAAAACATCAGAGACAGCAGCGGTTCTCAGTTAAGCTCTGAGCAGCTCATACAATGCTCTTTCCACAAACTTTATTTTAAAAAATTAACATAAACTGTTTCAGATTTCCTGTGACAAGATCTGATTGTATTATGCAAAATGATTTTTTAAAAAGCTTTTTTTGAACACGTACTTGCAGTTTCAGCATAATACGTGTTATTGTTTACAAATTTATTTCAAAATTAGGAACAAAATATGCAATAAAATTAAATTCTGATAGTGTTTAGCTTCTGTTTTCTACATCACAGCACGAATTGTGGCAGTTTAACTTCTACGATTTATGCATTCGGCTCATTCAGCATTTCGGGCAAGTGCTCAAACAGTAATCTTCTGCAAAATACTTGAGAAGAATGCACGATTTCTCTGCCAGGATAAGATTGGTAGAAAAGAATATGAAATTCCAAATTATGAATGTGATCGGGAAAATGAATTTGGAAACATCGTCCAAGTTCGTGTTATTTGGCGGCCTCTCCGCTCGCCTTGCTGCTTTTTGGGCTTTCTTTGAACTTTTCAGCGAGTTCGTTCTGATGTCCAAAAAATCTCTCAGTTCGTTCGGAGGTGGTCGCGGTTTCAACTGAACCATAGGTTCGTTTAAACTCAGCCTGTTTCTCGCGTCGTTTGCAGATTTGCAAGACGAATTTCTGAAACTCTGCTCATCAAAGCTTGCTGGATCCCTTAGCAAATTAGCAGCTCCAAGGACCGATCCATTCTGCAAAATGTCCTCTGTTTCTGCTTGCAAGGATGAATACACCCTTTTACCGTCTGCCCTTGAAGAAACTGAATTCGTAGACGATGATTGCATCGGTGCTAGCTTGAACACCTGTTGATGATTACGTAATCTTTCTCCACTTCCGTTTTTGTTGACGCCGGGACCAGTGTTCGACAGAACTGTAGGGTTGCTCACCACTGGAATTGAAGAGACGTGACTAACTTTAGACGTGCTAACTTGCTTGGGTCTTTTATCTTCAGGGTTGTATGATACGATTGCAAACTCGATCAAAGTCGCAAATGTGTAGATGAAGTTGACTGTCAGGTACAAATCAGCCATCTTCAGGTCACTAACGGAAGGAAACCGGCTCGCCATCCCCACTATCAATGTAATTTGTGCCAAAATAGCGGTGATTGATAGGCCGGCTCGGGCCGGAATAGCTTTGTAATCAATCCAGAAATTGACCCAAGACAGGGCCACCAACGAGACGCTTGGTAAGTAAAGCGTGACCAGGAAGATGTTGTATTTTCGGTGCAGTATGATATCGAAACAATGCTCGGTAAAGTTATCAGCCAAATATGGCATAGTGATGTTGTAATAGTCCTGCTCACCCCTATAACCCTCCATGAAGAAATTGGCTGTGAACTGATCAGGGTACATTCCCGACAGATCATTCGACCATCTCATTTGAACCAAACCGTCATGGTACTTGTACGAGCCTATGCAGATTGGACAAATGTGTTTATCGAATGGAAAGTAAACCAACTTCATGATACACGAGATTGTAATTATAAGTCGGTTCGAGTAGAATAAATTCAGTTCTGGACTCAAACGTACACAAACGTTGTCGTTGTAGTCATCAGCAGGTATAATATTGATCGCATCTGGTAAATAGAAATCGGGTCTCCAAATAGCTGCCGCAAAATCCTTTCCCAAAGTCATTTCTTTCAAGTAACAGCTTTCGTTCATGCATTTCGGAGGCATATTATGTCGAATGTGATCTCTGTAAAAAGTATCCCAGGTCCAATCGAGCCTTCGGTCGGTCCATTGCGCTTGTAAGAAGACGTCTAGAATAACCGTCATATCATTCTCGCTTATGGTTCGAACCGAGTTAACGAACATTCCGATCTCTACAACATCTGTTTTTCCTCCTTCCGATGGTCTGAGTTGTTTGTTGTACTTCGGGTTCACAAATTCATACGACGAGTGTGTTGTTATTGATGAGTCGTCTGGGCCATTTGCCTGACCTGGTTTGATAATTGCGGCAACAAGCGGAAGCAAAAAATGGAACGGTAATTTTGCCGACATTTTAATCAGCGAACGGAAATTTAGGTCTCAAAGCGCTATTTCTTGATGATTCAGGTAGTGATATCAGTAATTGGCGCTCAAAGCCGTTTTTTATTCTTCGCTCTGATCGAATGGAGCGTTCAGAAAAAAAGAGGAAATTACAATAATATAATTATGAAATAGCTGCTCCAATTGAATTATTCTTGAACGCGCGGGAATTCAAAATGTATCATTATTGTCTTTTTTTTTAAGAAGTGAAGAGCCAGTTGGCCAAACTCGAATACTTAAAATTTCAAGATGCTACTAAACAGACCCCTAACTGATATTTGATAAGCTAGGCTGTCAAATTACTAAATAGGTCACAGACTAATCAACTCAAAACTTCAAGGGATCTTCTTTCGTGATGATATAAATTATACAAACTTCTAACCGGTATATAATTGCACCTAGGAAACTAGCAACATAAAATTTTGCAATTTTGAAATTTAGAGAACTGTAACTATAAAACATTTGAATCAGAACGTGAACGTTACAAAAAAAAAAGATAATCAAACTGTTTTATTTTGTTAGATCCGAAATATATCACATTGTTTTTGAAACAAAACAACCCAAATTTCACCTTTGATTGCCACACAAAAGTAATAAAAAAAGCGGTAAACGTCGAACAATGCAAGGCGGTCCTCGTCGTCTTAGTTTAATTTATTTAAGAAATAAAAAATAATGTTAAAAACATTTGAGGTTCGACTATAAAGTGATTATTAAAGGCATTCGGTATAGATTAGTACTTCAAAACAATATCATGTACCACTCAATTCTCAAATACCACAAAAACGCGGCTGTCCAATCATTGCAAGAGCAGAACCAAAAAAGAAACATAATTAAAACGAACAATTTCAGCCAACCAGAGGCCGTGTAAATATTTAATATCTCTTTAGCTTCATTCAGTTCAGCAATAGCCAGTCACATTTGGCCAGAAAATTTATTCACATGGCTATTATTTTCATTTGGGCTCAATAGTGGTATATTCAGAGCAAAGAGTGGCCTAACAATTTTTTTTTAAAAAAACGGATCTTGCTAACAATTTGCCCCCTCTGGTACCTAGTAAAAAAAATGCCAACCCTATAAAGAACTAATTCAACGGTTAAGCATCTGTAAATTTTGTACCTTGTAACGAAATCCTTTTCTCCTTCTCCAATTGGGGGGTAACAGTTAATAAGAACAAAATATACAAACAAAAGTTGTTCAGATCATTACGGTAAACACTTCTTGAACCATAATCTTCTTCGGTATTTAAATTTTTTTAAAGATAATCGCAGAAAATTTTTACAACACTTGTGCAAAAGATATCTGTTTAAGTTTCAAGAGTTTTTTTGTAAGTACACCAGAAATTAGCCAGATGTTATATTCTACTTTTAAAAGCAAATTGAATTAATTTTACGACTACTGCGTGACAAAAAAAAAGTTTTCTGACCGCTGTTTTCTAAACCGGGAGTTACTGATCGAACCGTGAAAATTCAATGGAACATGTAGACAGTAAACTCGTCTCTGACTATAGTCAAGAGAAACAAGGATATCCTAATAATGTGTAAGTATTACTGTGTTCCGACAACAGCTTTTTGAAAAAAAATTGAAATTAAATATATTTTTATAAATACATTTTTTATATCCTCACAGCACGGTGAGAAGACCTTATATAACGCTAAGAATATCCACATTTGCATTATTTGACCAGTTGTTTTTCAAGAACAAAGAAAAAAAACGTTCTTTATCTTTTCAATTGTTTTACACATTACTTCTTTTGAATTTCTCATTTTTAAGTACCAGAGAAGTGCCATACGAATCTTCATTAACTAGTTTTCGATTTGGTAAAAACGAGGTTTTGAAAGCATTTTTTTACGTCAACACAATCCCTTTTGAAACAACTTTAATACCTAGAACCGAACCATAACTTCGCATCACTTGCGATACAACGCAATTGCAGCATTGCAAGCTAGCGAACAGAAAGAGAGACGGAAATTTAAAAAATCATGAAAAAAAAAATTTTATAGAAAAAAAATCAAAAAAATAGTCGAAAAACACAACCACTAGAAATAAACAGGCTGTTAGAATTTACCGAGTGACTACTAGGCCGACCAAAAGTTGGTAGACGCCCATTGAGCCGAAAACGAAATAAATGCCATAACAAATTGTCAAAAAAATGTTGCGCAATTAAGTTTTAATAGATGATTTGTTGCCCTTGAAGTAACGTGAAATAAGGTAACAAAGCCAATACAACATGAAAAAAATTAGGCCGAAAAGCTATTAATACTAGATACTTTTCCATTATTCATTAAATTGTTTACTCTTGCGCTTCAGTTTCTGTTTTTCTTCAATTTCATTTTGTCAAGCGCATTTGCAGCGCCTCCCCTTCGTTATATAGGTCAACGAGATCTCCGTCTTGCCATTACTTAAGTCGCCTTGCTATTGTTTTAGATAAAAATTCATCTTCTCCGGTTTTTGTTTTACACAGTAGTAAGCGCGGAAAGTTATTTTCGTGGTTTTCTATTAGGCTGTTCAGTGTTCTATTGAGGGTTGCAATGAAGTTCTAACCAATTTTATTTTTTGATAAGATCATAGAGACCGGTTTCCAGTGGACCACTTCGATGATTCATTAGCTGCGTTAAATTGGGACGTGCAGCGTTGACAGTTGAAATCGTCATAGTGGTCACTGTTGCGGGCTAGGCCCGCTGCATTTACATGCATGTAGCATGGGTATGTGAAGCATCAAACACATCCGCCTCGCAAGCAGTTTTACAAATATATCAATGGGTTTGAGTAGCCATTTAAGGAAGGACGGCGGTGTCAAGTTAGCGAGAAAATTTATAGATTAATGAACACTAATCCGACAAAACAAGCAGACAAACGAAAATCCGACAAACCAATTTTACCCCAAAACTTTTATTCACTTTCATACGCTCTAAAAGATTGTAAGGTCCGGCCGAGACTCGGACCCCAGAATCAAGGGTACAAAGGCAACCGCGTTACCTCTATGCCAAGTGGGAAGTTGCTATGGTGCACAAATAAGGAAACCTCACAATTTCTTACAGAATTGTAAGAAAAATTAATTACGCCAAAAAGTCTTGTTCCCGATTACAAGACACTATCTCGCAAGTGTAATGACATCTCTCTGAACACATTCTGATTACTATCTTTAATAACTAAATATGCGAAAAACATGTGAAAAAAAAAGATAAGAACTTTGAAATGTTAATTCAAACGTTTTCGCACATTTTGTGCATCATCAGGATTAAAAGTTTCTTTACAATATTTACAAAACGATCAAAGATCTGAAAAAATGATAATCATGTCTAAAAATGCTCTAAATTTTTTTTTTGACCAATCAAATTTAAACAACTGTAATTACATAAAAAATTACGTAACCATTAATAACATTTTCCTGTAAATTTCTGAGATTTTGTAGAAAACAAGATAATTTAGAGATCGGAACAACAAGGATGATGCCGACTAGTGGACAAGCAGCATACATGTTCCGACCACCTTTATCTTTGTTAATATCGTTGTTATTATCATTCTCGCGTGGCTCAATAGGTACTTGAGGCGTATTCAAAACCGTAATAAAGTAGTTTGCACCAAAGTTGAACACAAAATTCACAAAATCAAAACTACCGGAGAGAAAACGATAATCAAAAAAGATTGTCTTGTATGAAAAATAACCTTTATTTTTGGTCATCAGATACAAATTTAGACCACCAACCCTGGTAACTTGGTTTCCCTGAAGCAAAGAAAACCCAAATAAAAATGTTCAAAAAAAAATATATAGTTTTCTCATTTTCCTTGTTCAATAAATTATTCTGAACGCTCATTTGAGATAAAATTCAGTCAGCCAATTAATTGGGTGCTATTTACATGTAAACCAACTCCTTGCCTTTGATAACACCCTGCGTTACGTTTGTACGGAGGATGATGAGATAGCTCAATGGATCATTACGAGGTTGGGTGGGAGGCGGAAGATTACTAGAGTGAACCTTTTTTTTGTAAAATATTTATTTTAATGAAAGATTAAACTACGAATCGAAAACTTCATCCAGCTTTTTTGAACCTGAGAATTTTTTTTGACTCATTAGCTGTATTATTATGAAAAAAAAAGTTAACTAAAAAAGAGGCTCTTCCGTTTAGGTACGGTCGTGCACAAGCTGGATAGGGCCTATACCAGCATTATATAAGTATATCAATGAACAAAATAGCAGGAATTAAGTCAAGTCAGCATTGAATGCGTTGTCATTAAAGGTATTTACTTCAACCTTCCCTCCTCTCGAAAATCACAAATTGAATTGTCTATGAATTGCGTCTCCCGCAGTGATCTGCACCCCCGTATATAAAGGATAGCGCTCTGCGTAGCTATACAAAGGAAAGCGCCAGTCTACAAAGGATACCGCTCAGGAGAGCGCTCCTAAGTAGCTTTCAAGCCTTTTTTCATTAAATTTTTCAGCTATGCGCAGCATTATCCGCATATCTGCTGGTGCGGCACCACCAGTGCAGCCAAAAATGAGCCTGCAGAAACTGCTGTTCGGTTTGTAGAATCATGTTCGTATTTTCAGTTTTTTAGTGTTTCGTGGTACTTATAGGCGTCTTTTAGTAAAATTCGTGAAGTTTTTTTTTGCATGCGGGTTGAAGACTTCCACATCAAAGAAAGTTCGGCTAATCCTTGAGCCCCATAATCTGTTTGCTTTTACATGAAGCAAAATTTTTTTGTTTCGGATAATTATGCGCTTTTCGGATACATCATACCAACAACTAGTAGTATACCAATAAGCTCTTTATGTTTTCATTTCACAATTATGCTCAGCAAAATACAAAGTAAGTTCACAAAAGAAAAATAATATAACATCAAAGTGATGGAAGTTTTAATCTTGGCTGTTGTCGGTTCTCCACTTCCGGGTTCCCCTCAACCCTGTTATAGCTGATCGTAGGAGCGAGGAAGACATCTTCAGCCGGATTTCACTAAAGGCATTGGAATAGGGCTTATTATTATTGTCGGATATCTTCTGAGCGAGCCTTTTAACGAATATTGAGGCTTCGTTCCCCATGCCACCAGTCGTTGAAAACACGTTAATAATTCTGTCAATATATGCCCTCCTCTTTTCATTCTCATAGTTAACATTAACGATTTAACTGCTTTTCCGATATAACTTGATGCGTTGGGATGAAATCAGGGACGTCCAAACAAGTCTTAACGCTTCTTGCCCAGATGTCGAGACGCGCTTCGTCAGATGAGTTCGCAGTACCCGGTTGGAGAGTTTCACCGCTGAGAGGCTGCAAATGAGGTTCAATGCCAGCTCCTCGGCGAAGACAATCTAGGGAATGGGCGAAAAAAAATCTAATCCCGTCATGTCGCTGAGCAAAAAAACCTCCAGTTTTACAAATCTTGGCGTGCTCTACATTGAAGGACTGGCCACAAACGCAATTGGTCGGCAGGTTCTTGACAGGTAGGCAGACGCGCAAAGCCAACGCATCACTAATGTCACGCAATGCCAACGCATCACGTTTGCTTTTACATCGAGTCGAGCTTCTCCATCAGTTGTGTTTGAAATGTTGACAAAGCTTTCACCTTGCAACGACTGAAAAAACGCTTTGTTTTCATCATCATAGCAAGCCTCGCTCATGAGGATGGAAGAGATATTTCTGACTTCGTTTTGCCTCATGTGGGTGTATCCACTCTTCGCACAGTGAAGGGCGTGTGTAAGGTCGAACAATTAACCACATGCATATGAGAGTCGAATGTTGGTTGGTTCCCGTTCGAATCCTACATGAAGCCCATCCCGGAATATGGATTTAAGGAAGCTGAAACAAGGAAGGATGCTTTTAGTTGCAACATCTGAAAAACCGCAAAAAGACAACAAAATTTCTACACATTATAAACTAGACAACTAACGTAGAACATGGAAGAAGCCATGCAGAAAATTACAATCGAGAATCGAGAGAAAAGGAGTATTCCAAGACGTAACAAGTGCGAAGTTAGATTATTGGTTCCCGATTGAATCTGATATGAAGCCCATCCCGAAATACGGATTTAAGGAGGCTGAAAAAGTATCTGCTGGGTGGCAGTTTGTTTAAACAGTCTGAGACTTTTTTTGGAGGCTAGCTCAAGTGCGTTCTTTTCATTGTCACTCAAGTTGTTGAGACTGTTATTTTTCGTAGTTTTTTCTTTCAGTTTTCAGTATTTATTTTTTAGAAAGTTTCTTTTTCAAGCTCAGATATAGCTATTAATGGATCGTATATGTCTAAGACTGACGATATTTCATTTGACCAATCCAAACAATTTTTAGTTCTCATGTAGTTTATCGATTCTGGGTTACTTTCTTGTTTTGTTTTTCACTTAGTTTTTCGGCCAAGCTCTGCCACATCCGAGAGGCTGATGGAGCAGCGCCATCGGTGCATTCGAAAATCAGCAGGCAAAAGCTACTCTGCTCTACGTTCAAAATTTTTTGCTGATCTTTGGAGTTCCTCAGCGTTTTGTGATACTTGCATGCGTTTTGATGCAATTTTCAGGATGTTTTGGCATGGAAGTTTTCAAATCAATAAAAGCAAGGCTAAATTTTGAACCCGAGAGTCCGTTTGCTTTATGGTCATGTCGTGCCTCATTTTATGTTTTAGTTGAAATGTTGACTAAGCTTTCCTCCTGCAACGGCTGAGGTTTCGACTCAATCTCGACGTCATGGCAATCGTCGTTCATGAAATTGGCAATTTTTTCTCTAATTTCTTTGTTTCTTATATGTGTGTAACCTCCCTTTGCACAATTTATGGCATATGTCAACTTAAAACTTCAACCATATGCAATTGTGAATGAGTTTTGGTCGGTTCTCGTCGGTATCTTAAGTAAATACCGAAGTAAATACCAATTCTGATTTATTCAAATTGAAGTTATATCTGCTTAGTGGTAAAACACTTGGAGGAGTCGAGGTCTATTGCGCAATTATCAGTTTCGTTTACGAGTTATTGAGGTTTATTTTCTTTCGGTTT